CTCCGAGAATGTTTTACATTTTTAAAATAGACAGTTGGGTTCCCCGGGAAGGTTTTACATTTTTAAAAAATGACAGTTGAGATCCCTGAGAAAGTTCTACATCTTTAAAATACACAGTTGAGATCCCCAAGAGGTTTAGATTATCCAAAAAGACAATTGGAACCCCCGAGAAGGTTTCACATTATTAAAAAATTACATTTGGGGCCCCCGAGAAGGTTTTACATTTTTAAAATACACAGTTGGGTTTCCCGAGAAGGTTTTACATTTTTAAAATAGACAGTTGGGATCCTCGAGAAGGTTTCACAATAAAGAAAGTCATTTGGGCCCCCCGAGAAGATTTTACATTTTTAAAAAATGACAGTTGAGATCAATGCGAAGGTTTTACATCTTTAAAATAGACAGTTGAGATCCCCGAGAGGTTTAGATTATCAAAAAAACAATTGGGCCCCCGAGAAGGTTTCACATTAAAAAAACAGATTTTTACCCCCCAAGAAGGTTTTCGATTTTTAAAAAACAGACTTGAAACCCCCGAAAAGGTTTCACATTCTAAAAAAACATTTGGGACCCTGGAGAAGGTTTTACATTTTTAAAATAGAGAGTTGGCTCCTCCTAGAAGGTTTTACATTAATAAAAAATGACAGTTGAGATCCCTGAGATGGTTTTACATCTTTAAAATAGACAGTTGAAATCCCCGAGAGGTTTAGATTATCAAAAAAGACAATTGGGACCCCCGAGAAGGTTTCACATTATTAAAAAATTACATTTGGGGGGTCCGACAATGTTTTACATTTTTAAAATAGATAGTTGAGTTCCCCGAGAAGATTTTACATTTTTAAATAATGACAGTTGAGATCCCTGAGAAGGTTTTACATCTTTCAAATAGACAGTTGAGATCCCTGAGAGGTTTAGATGATCAAAAAAGACAATTGGGACCCCCAAGAAGGTTTCACATTATTAAAAAATTATATTTGGTGCCCCCGAGAAGGTTTTACATTTTTAAAATAGACAGTTAGGTTCCCCGAGAAGGTTTTACATCTTTAAAATAGACAGTTGAGATCCCCGAGAAGTTTAGATTATCAAACAAGACAATTGGGCCCCCGAGAAGGTTTCGCATTAAAAAACACATTTGTGCCCCCCAAGAAGGTTTTCGATTTTTAAAAAACAGACTTAGAACCCCCGAAAAGGTTTCACATTCTAAAAAAAAACATTTGGGGCCCCCGAGAAGGTTTTACATTTTTAAAAAAGACAGTTGGGATCCTGGAGAAAGTTTCACAATAAAGAAAGTTATTTGGGGCCCCCGAGAAGGTTTTACATTTTTAAAAAATGACAGTTGGGGCCCCCGAGAAGGTTTTATATTTTTAAAATAGACAGTTGGGATCCTGGAGAAAGTTTCACAATAAAGAAAGTTATTTGGGGCCCCCGAGAAGGTTTTACATTTTTAAAAAATGACAGTTGAGATCCCTGAGAAGGTTTTACATCTTTAAAATAGACAGTTGAGATCCCCAAGAGGTTTAGATTATCAAAAAAAAAAAAAAAACAATTGGGACCCCGAGAAGGTTTCACATTATTAAAAAATTACATTTGGGGCCCTCGAGAAGGTTTTACATTTTTAAAATAGACAGTTGGGATCCTCGAGAAGGTTTGACAATAAAAAAAATTCATTTGGGGCCCCTGAGAACGTTTTACAGGTTCAAAAAGACAATTGGTGCCCCCGAGAAGGTTTTAGATTTTTAAAATAGACAGTTGGGTTCCCCGAGAAGGTTTTACATCTTTAAAATAGACAGTTGGGATCCCCGAGAAGGTTTCACCTTCTAAAAAAACATTTGAGGACCCCGAGAAGGTTTTACATTTTTATAATAGACAATTGGGATTCCCGAAAAGGTTTCACATTCTAAAAAAAAAACATTTGGAGCCTCCGAGAAGGTTCTACATTTTTAAAGTAGACAGTTGGGATCCCAAGAAAGTTTTACATTAAAAAAAGACATTTCGGCCCCCCAGAACGTTTTACAATTTCAAAGAAGACAATTGGGACCCCAGAGTAAGTTTCACATTAAAAAAATACATTTGGGGCCCCTGAGAAGGTTTTACACTTTTAAAATAGACAGTTGGGATCCCCGGGAAGATTTTACATTTTTAAAGTAGACAGTTGGGAGATGGTTTCACATTCTAAAAAAAAACATTATGAAATATCGAGAAAGTATTAAAGTACCAAATTGCTCGATGGACTCCACTACTATAAGTCCTTATGTTATCCTCGTTAAGAAAAACAACTTGAAAGAGTTTGTCGAAGAAAAGCGGTATGGATTTTTTTATTTTAAGTTTCTGGTTGTCGAAATAAATCAACGCATACTAAGAAAAAGAGAGGAAATGTAGCCCCGCCCATCCACCCTGACTCAATTGTGATGATTTTTTCATTCTTCGAGAGCCAAAGGAACGAAGCTTATCTGCAAAATCCTTATTTCTCTACGAGAAATTAAAAACATGTTTTTGAGTATCGTATTATTCAAAGAAAACTATGTAGGTATATTAAGAAAAAAATAAAGCTAAAGATTAGGCCCCACCCATACCGGGCTCTGACCTCAATTCTCAATTGTGATGAATTTTTCATTCGTTGTCAGATCGAGGGGCGGGGCTTAATTGGAGGATCCATATTTGTCTAGAAGAATTTACTATTTTAAACATGTTTTAAGTTTTTTGTTATGAAAAGATGGCTATACATATTAAGAAGAAAATGGCAAACTCTAAGCCCCGCCCACCCACCCGGTCTCAATTGTGATAAATTTTTTTATTCATCGCGAGCCAGGGGAACGAAGTTTGACTGCAAACTCCTTATTTCTCTACCAGAAATTAAAGGCATGTTTTTGAGTATCGTATTGCTCAAAGAAAACTATGTAGGTATATTAAGAAAAAATAAAGCTAAAGATTAAGCACTACCCGTATCCCCCCCCCCCCCCGATCTCAGTTCTCATTTGTAATGAATTTTTCAGTCGTTATCAGATCGGAGGACGGGGCTTAATTGTAAGATCCATATTTGCTTACGAGTATTTACTATTTTAAACATATTTTAAGTTTCTTGTTATGAAAAGATGGCTATGCATATTAAGAAGAAAAAGGCAAAATATAAGCCCCGCCCACCCACCCGGTCTCTATTGTTATGATTTTTGTTATTCGTCGTGAGCCAAGCGAACCAAGCTTAACTGAAAAATTCTTGTTTCTCTACGAAAAATTAGAAACATGTTTTTGAGTATCATGTTGTTCAAAGAAAACTATGTATATTAACAAAAAATAAAGCCAAAGATTAGACGCCACCCACACCCGCCCCGATCTCAATTCTCAATTGTGATAAATTTTTCATTCGTTGTCAAATCGAGGGGCGGGGCTTAATTATAAGATCCATATTTGTCTACTAGAATATACTATTTTAAACATGTTTTAAGTTTCTTGTTTTGAAAAGATGGCTGTATATATTGAGAAGAAAAAGGCAAAATATAAGTCTCACCCACCCACCCTACCTCAATTGTGATGATTTTTTCTTAATCGTCGAGAGTCAAAGGGGCCGAATTTATATACAACATTCTTATTATTTCACTGCAAGAAATTACCATGTAAGACATTTGTGTTATTCAAAGAATACAATGCATATTAAGAAAAAATTAAAGCCAACCATATCTGCCCTGACGTAAATAGTAATGAAGTTTTCGTTTGTTGGCAGACCTAACTGCAAAATCCATATTTCGTTACAAAAATTTACCATTTTAAACGTGTTTTCAGTTTCTAGGAATTAAAAAAATCATCACAATTGAGATAGGGTGGGTGGGCGGGCTTAGATTTTGCCTTTTTGTTGTAATATATGTAGACATGTTTTCACAACATGAAACTTAACCTATGACTTTTACGTTAAATTCCATAATTTTGATTAATTAACTATAACACGCTTCACATTTCGCATGATACTTTTAAATTGGTGATGTGCAGCAACGGTGCAACGGTTTCTGTGTGTTCAACCCTCATAACAATTTTGTCATAAACTGGGAAAATAATACATGAATCGATTTTTTTTTTCATACCTCTATATTGTATTTTCCATCAACCGTTTAAAATTGCAGAATAAGCTTTAAAGTGTAATTAAATTCTCGAGCGCAAGGTCTCTGTTGCTTTCGAAACAAAGTGGAATTCGTACTCAAGTATCGTTTTGAGCTTTAGATTTACAAACATTTAGCAAACATTAGTTAACACGAATCAAATATTTGTTCAACGTTTGGCGCAAACCGATGTAAATATTAAGCAGTTTTTTGAGGGTCGTAACGGGCGGTAAAAAATTTTCAGATGGGGCAGAGAAATTTCTGAATCAATTTGTTTGTACGTTTCGAGCAGGACGAGGCGACAGCGCACCCTACCAAAAATCGAACGTACAAACACACTCCCCAGAGACTAAATTTCTAAGCACCTGTTTACACCCCAATGGCCATCGTACGAAAAAAAATAAAAGTAAAAACGCCAACACCGAGTTCATTTATTTCCCAGTCGGTCCCTCCATCCGTAAACTTTCCCAATAAACCTTTTATTACTCTTAATAACCATTCCCCTCCCCACTCCAAAAAACCAAACCTCTTCCCCATTATTAGCAAACCGCCATACTCCAAATACCTCCTCTATCAACCCCAACTTTCCTTAATCCTCCTCTAACTACCCCTAACTACACCGGCCACAATTCCTTCTTTGCGTCCGCAACACGGCCTAAATATTCACGAAGCGACTCCCATCCCGCACTCCCACTAATGAATATAAATTAACGCGACTTTTTCGATGCAATTGTAGTCGCAGGCCTAATTTCTCGAGCACTTAGTTTGTCATTGTGATCCTTTATCTTTCCGTTTTCTGGGAGCATATCTCATCAGGCGATGTCGTTATGTTGTATGGTGCGTTTCATCAGGGTGCGGACCGGCGCAATGCCGTACCACAACGTTCGGACGGTTTCACCCTCAGTACCTACGCGATTTTACCCTAGGCCGTGTCGGGGGCCGCGACACGTACGAACACGCGAAGGGATGATTTAGTGAGGGATGTGACGCCCGAGGACTGATGGATTTATTTACCCTCGGAGAGGTAAAATGATTCTGTGGAATGATGGGTGTTAATGGGGGGGAGGGGGGAGTTGGATGCTTGTTTGATGTAGTTTGTTGGTGTACTATACAGGGTGTTCGGAAAAAATTACACCGATTCGAATGGATTTGTAAGAGTTTTGTGACGATTGTTTAAATTTGCGCAGGCTGTAGAACACGAACTGCAGGTTTCCCGTTTCGGGCGATCTCTTTGTGTCGGACAGTTACTAGTTGAACTACACTATGTTACGTGCCTGCCTTTTTTTATATTTTCGAACTGTATTAACACGATTTTTGAAAAAGTTAGTGTTACGGTGTAGATATGAAACTCTGTATATTTGTTTTTTTTTATTTCACTCACGTCCAAGTACTAACTTTATGAGGACAACCATATGAATACAAAGACTAGCGCTATTTACTTATATTCTCCGAATGGAAATTCTTTTCGCAAAATTTAAATTCATCCCGTTTTATTTACAGATGGCTCATGATTTATAGTTCATTCCAGCTAGAGCACTTTTCATTAAAGGAAAAATCTGCGCACTTGTCTTGATTACATTTTAATGAACCCGAAATTTGATTCGAATCAGATCACGATCGTTCCACAACGGGTTGTTTTAAGAATTGCGACATATTTTCCCACCGATTCCCATTTAGATCTGAATTACGGATTTTCCGATACTGAAAAACCGGATCGCGCCCGGATCCGATCCGGATTTAAAATAATCAGGATTGACTCAACACCGCGCTTTGGAAATACCCCGCAAAAAAATATGCGAACAAATGAAATTGCGACTTTTGGCGAAAATTTGGAAGTGGATATACCAGTTTTGAAAAATTTTTGATTAATATTACTACTATTGTTAATTCCGCAGTTCTGTGTTATCAAACGCAAACATTACATCGACCAACGTTCAACAATTTCTGTTTGCAGATAAATATTCAAGCGTCAGCTAAATAAACATGCAAATATTACTCGATAGTAGAAAAAATCACGCTTTGATGGAAACCCGTTTTTAGTTATCTGAACTTTGATGAATCGTTGAGCGGAAAAATAATATTGTTGGAAAATAATAGCTATATTTGGACTTACAGAAAAAATAGAATTGGTGTGTAACACGTATAAATGCAAATACAACAAATGTAATTTTCTCTTTCACTGCGAGAGCGCGAACGAATAAAACAGTGATAAACAACACGTAATTATCTGAATGCAGATAGTTGTCATTAACGAAAAATACTCGCTGATTACACAGTTTGAATTTATAATTGTCATGTGCTACTCAATTTGTCATTAAACTTGGCTTTTATCGATTTACATCATGAAAATGATTTCCCGTTGGTCTAAATTGAGTAAATTGGCGAAAATGTTGGACATTTCACTCCAGTTCTATTCGAATAAGTAACGCAAAATTTTTCCAAACCCAACTAGGTCTCGTTGCGTCAGTATCTCAAATTAATTCCCGCAAATGTAACGAACCTGGCTTATCAGGAATGAATAATAATCGCGTTGGGAAGATACAGAGAGGATTGTTAAAGCTCCGACGATAATTTGCCCACTTATACCGGAATTACTCACAGCAAACCGAAGAAGTAAATTAAGATCGTTTTGAGATACAGAACTCGACGCTTTCCGAAATAATCAAGCGGAAAATTCAGCACAGGTGAAAACCGGTAAATATTTAGAGCGCGAGCAGCTGTGAACACCCCCTCGGATTTTTAAAGGGTTGGCGCAACCTTCCGAACTTCGCAAGGTTCGAAAGTCAAAGATCCTTGAAGTAAGTGCGTCTGGACGCTGTAAAAAAGCGTCAAGGGAGCCCTGATTTGGCGCCGAACTTTGCGAAAGCCTCTTATGTTGTGTTTGTCTTGCGAGGGTGAAAAAGTAAATTTTACAATGAGGGAAAATTACCTGCATTCGTCTTGGCGCGACTCGGATTTATGAAAACGTGTTCTTGTGACAAAAATTGCGCCACGTATTATTCGCGACTAAATCGCAACTGTTCTTGTTCGCGATCATCTGATTCGCATTCCGAACACTTGTTTATTTTCGGGAGAAAAACGTAATCTGTTGTTATTTTCCGGCTATTTAAGTCCGCGTTTAAAATATAATCACAAAATGCGGGGATTAGTTTGATATAGTGAAAGCGCTTTCCGTAATGTTTATTTTTTAACATCAAGCTTGGATGCAGACGACCAGATTAAGATGGATTTACAGTTTGCGCGTTTCGGTGAAGTACAAAGCTTAAAAGATTATAAATTTTCATTGTAAATCGAAACTTGACCTTTCGGCCGTTTTGGAGCGAAACGGTTCGAATCTCGAGTGGAATAACGTGAATGTTTAAAATTTCAAAGTGGAAAAGAGGTTCAGGGGTTAGATTTCGCGTCCCGGACTAGATTGGCAATTATGTGTGATGTTTATGTTATGAGGGAAATTTTCACAATTCGCCCGGAATAAGACATTCGAAATTATAAACTTTGTCCAGTCCGTCGTAGCTTTTTACGATTCGTTTTAATGTCGTCTATGGATTGCGCTACTGCTACACGGAGAGACGCTAAGCTTCCTTGCCAGTTTTAACGACACGAACGTAAAGTTGACATAATCTGCGGTCAAACTAAACCAAAAAAGCCCACGAACTGGAAGAGCTTTTTTACTTTAAAATAATCCCCTCATAACTGCGCAGAAAAACGCGCCTTTTTCCGACAACAAAAAATACTCATTTTCGAAAGCTTGTTTGCGGCGATACCAGATTTATCGGGCTTTATTCCCGTTTGTACTGCATTAAGTTCGTTTTTTCGACTATCGAACTGCGTGAACTTTTAATCGCCGCATTACTAACAGACCAAACTTTAAGAATTTTCCGTGTAATTGCAGAAATATTGGCTCGGCTCCACATCCAGACTCCTCTCTCTGTATTTAATTATCTTCAGTCGCACCGAAAGAAACCTAATGGCTCGAGAACAAAATAAGTTTAGAGCGTTTCTTGCCGCGGTGAGGCTTATTTGAATTTCACAATCCGAAACGTTTATTTAATATTTCATCATTTTTGCCCGACCCTGCGTTAATAATTAATCGGGCGAAAGTTAATTATTAGCGATTCGCAGCCTGTTAATTGTGTTTGTTTTGTAATATTCGTTTGTGAAATGTAAATTAATTATTTATTGTTACCGCGCTTTTATCGAATTTCTGACTAATTGCAATTATTAATTACAGGACCGCTGCACCAAATTCGGATAGACAATGGATGAGAGTCATTAGTTATTCCCGGAAGACACTAACATTAATCGAATTTTGGCGAACCTGTTTTACCGCCGCGCTGTTTATTGTGCGTTTTCAATCTGGAGGACTTGATAATGGATTTTCAGTGATGGACGTATTTATGTGACTAACGCAATGTTGTCGAAGGCTTGGATACAGTGTGTGTGCAGTTTGACACTAATTCGGTGTGTGTTCGCCGCACCTTCGGTCGTCCAGAAGGAGATACACGGTAAGGAATACCATTTTCACAAAACCGACGATTTTGAGGCACTTTCGAAAATTCATCCTACCGACTGCGCCACTTTCGCAACACCAAAAAAAATTTTTTTTAATTCGTCGAAAAATGTCCTCTCTTTGATCGTCGCCGGTGAAAGAATCCCGAAATAATGTAAGCCCGGTTCACCCGGGTGAAGCGCTGTTGACGTGGCTTCATCCCCGACTGCGCCATTGTTACCGTCCAATTTTTAGCGACCCCGTTGTCAGTAACCGCAGCCTAAACATTGCCTTGTTATTATTCACGAGCGTGTACGTTTCGTGTAACAGCTCGCAAGCTTATTGACATTTTTATTTAGCAGCTGACACTGATGTAACCGGGTCAGTTTCGGCGATCAAAAATTCCGGCACATCCGTTTTCATCCGGACTATCAAGTTCGCATTTCAGACACGGCGCCGGGCCCAAATTAGCCTCATGCATCAAGATCACGTTTCCTTATCTAAATATTAGGATTTGTAACGCGTCTCTCCGCCCACAATAATGACTAATAAGCGTAATATATTCGCCGATATATTTCCCTTTCGTGCGACTTCTCGTGGGATAAGTGTTTCCCACTAAATTTGGATCATCGTTAAACCCTGTCACGGTTATGTCGAGATTTCGCTCCAAATGAATAGGGAGGAAATTAATTTAAATGTCACTGCTCCTGGTGTATTGCGTTTACGAGTTTTAAGAGACTAGTGGGGAAATTCGAAAGAAGCACCCCCGTAATTAATTAAATAAGTTGTGGTCAATTACGGCGACACTGGGGTTTTTTTTCTAATTAATTTTACGACGTTTGGTCATAAATATCGAAAGGGTCGGGCTCTCATCAGCGATCTGATTTAGCTTCTTGCACAGCCAAATCGGGTTGATGAAGTCGGCGCACATTTTAATGGCACAATAGACGCTCGTTCCGTTCCTACTCTTTTAGTTTGAAGGAACAGTAGGTAGGAGAAAGGACAAATTTAATATCACCGTAAGCACGGGTCAACCCCGAAACAATCTGCTTAATTACAATTGTGAGGATTTACTAAAGCACAAAGGTACTTACTCTGACATTCAACATTTTGAATGGACTACATTACGCTTGGTAAAAACTCCAGATGTAATATGTTTGTGTTTGCTAATCTAACAACGTGAAGAGATGTAAACACGCGGGAATGAATTCCAAATTAGTCGCAAAAAACGGAAAAAGGGGATTTGTTAAACTAAAATCCTTAGTTTGGGGATAAGGAGCACTCGAACGGAGAAAATCCATACAAAGCGGAACAAAAAAACTATTAAATTCTAGTTTCGGAGCTGTTTTACCATGTTGCGCATTATTGAATTTAACGAAGTATTTTTGAATTATACGGAAATTGTGTTCTTTGATTTACCGACTGCGCCATTGTTCTCTAGTAATGCGGCGAATGTAATAACACGCTATATGCGAATGTTGTTTCACCGAAAAACATTGGTATTTGCGCCAATAACCGCTAACTGAACTTGTTAATCAAAACAGCGATAAATTGGACCTTTTGTTTGATTTTTACAAACGAAAATTCCAAGTCGAACAATCTGAGTTGCTTTTATTTTATTTTATTTAATTTATAATAGTGGAGCCAAGTTTTGCTACAAATTTAATTTTTTATCCTACCGACTGCGCCACTTTTACAAACCCTGTAAGAAAATTTCCGATAAAACTGTTTGACGAAATTTCAAATGTTGCGCTCCTTGAAACGTGGCGATACTTTTTGACACAATTATTGTTTTTTAAATACAAATTTATTTCCATTTCGAGTTAAAATTTCACTAAATATTTAGTTTGTAGTTAAAATTTCGCTACATTAAACAATCACGAGAGTGATCAGTCGTGCTGAAAACCAAAAATGGTACGAATTTTCGGAGAAATGAAACCAAAAACGACTTCTGTAGGTCGAAATCAACAGGAAAGTTACTTCGCCCAATTTTTGAAAAATGCTGAAACAACGCCAAAAATTTGATATGGTGAAGTTGCCTAAAAATTCACGGAAAATTCTGATATATAGATCTAGACGAGTTGAGTCGAAAAACAGCGTGTTTGTGGTCTCACAAAAGGATTTTCAAATCTTGGATTCCAAAGTCAAATTTTTATGTCTTGAAAAAAGTCACCTTATTTTGTTTTGGTGATTTTCGAAAAACCGTACGAATTTTGGGAGAAATGAAACCAAAAATGACTGATGTAGGCCGAATCAACAAGAAAATCTTTTCATATGATTTTTAGGAAAATTCTCGTAAGAACGTCAAAAATTTCACCATGGTGAAGTTGCCTAGAAGTTCACAAAAAATTATAGGTATAGACCTCCACGAGCTGGTTCCAAAAACAACGTGTTTGTGCTCCCAAACAAAGGTTTTTCCAAAAGTTTTTCGAATATTCGGTTCCAAAGTAAAATTTTAATAACATCCCAAAAATTGCCATGTTTTGTTATATTTCTGTAGGTCGAAATCAACAAAAAAATTTCTTCAGCAAATTTTTGGAAAATTCTCGAAAGTAGGTCAAAAATTTCGTATGGAGAAGTTGCCTAAAAGTTCAGAAAAAAAATTCGGATATAGAGATCGACGAGCTGAAACGAAAAATGTAGCGTGTTTGTGGTCCTAGAAAAAAGGTTTTTCTAATATTCAGTTTTCCAGTCAAATTTTCATAGAATCTCAAAAATTGTCTTAATTTATTTAGATTATTTTGCACAAACCGTACGACTTTTCGGAGAAATGAAACCAAAAATGACTTCTGTAATTCAAAAGATTATATTCAGCTGATTTTTTGAAAAATTTTCGCAAGAACGTCAAAAATCTCGTATGGTGAAGTTACCTAGAAATTCACAAGAAATTCCAGGATGTAGATCATGCCGAGTTGAATCCAAAATCATAGCGTTTTTATTGTTCCGGACAAGAGTTTTTCAAATATTCGGTTCCAAAGTCAAATTTTCATAGAATGTCAAAAATTGCCTTAATTTGTTTGGGTAATTTTGCAAAAACGGTACGAATTTTCGGAGAAATGACTTCTGTAAGTCGAAATCAACAGAAAAGTTACTTCGCCCAATTTTTGAAAAATGTTGAAACAACGCCAAAAATTTGATATGGTGAAGTTGCCTAAAAATTCACGGAAAATTCTGATATATATATAGATCTAGACGAGTTGAGTCGAAAAACAGCGTGTTTGTGGTCTCAGAAAAGGTTTTTCAAATCTTGGAGTCCAAAGTCAAATTTTTATGTCTTGAAAAAAGTCACCTTATTTTGTTTTGGTGATTTTCGAAAAACCGTACGAATTTTGGAAGAAATGAAACCAAAAATGACTTATGTAGGCCGAATCAACAAGAAAATCTTTTCATATGATTTTTAGGAAAATTCTCGTAAGAACGTCAAAAATTTCACCATGGTGAAGTTGCCTAGAAGTTCACAAAAAATTATAGGATATAGACCTGCATGAGCTGGATCCAAAAACAACGTGTTTGTGCTCCCAAACAAAGGTTTTTCGAATATTCGGTTCCAAAGTAAAATTTTAATAACATCCCAAAAATTCCCATGTTTTGTTTAGGTAATTTTTCTGTAGGTCGAAATCAACAAAAAAATTTCTTCAGCAAATTTTTGGAAAATTTTCGAAAGTAGGTCAAAAATTGCATATGGAGAAGTTGCCTAAAAGTTCAGAAAAAAATTTCGAATATAGAGATCGACGAGCTGAGACGAAAAATATAGCGTGTTTGTGGTCCTAGAAAAAAGGTTTTCCTAATAATCAGTAAAGTCAAATTTTCATAGAATCTCAAAAATTGTCTTAACTTGTTTAGGTTATTTTGCACAAACCGTACGACTTTTCGGAGAAATGAAACTAAAAATGACTTCTGTAATTCAAAAGATTATCTTCAGCTCATTTTTTGAAAAACTTTCGCAAGAACGTCAAAAATCTCGTATGGTGAAGTTACCTAGAAATTCACAAGAAATTCTAGGATATAGATCTTGACGAGTTGAATCGAAAAATATAGCGTTTTTTTTGTTCCGAACAAAAGTTTTTTCGGTTATTCGGTTCCAAAGTCAAATTTTCATAGAATGTCAAAAATTGCCTTAATTTGTTTGGGTAATGTTGGAAAAACGGTACGAATTTTCGGTGAAATGAAACCAAAAACGACTTCTGTAAGTCGAAATTAACAAAAGATTCTCTTTAGCTGATTTTTGGAAAATTTTCGCAAGAACGTTAAAAATCTCATATGGTGAAGTTACCTAGAAATTCACAGGAAATTCCAGGATATGGATTTTGACGAGCTGAATCCAAAAAACTAGCGTTTTTATGGTTCCGGACAAAAGTTTTTTCAAATATTCGGTTCCAAAGCCAAATTTTCATAGAATGTCAAAAATTGGCTTAATTTGTTTGGGTAATTTTGCAAAAATGGTACGAATTTTCGGAGAAATGAAACTAGAAACGACTTCTGTAGGTCGAAATAAACAGAAAAGTTACTTCCCCCAATTTTTGAAAAATGTTGAAACAACGTCAAAAATTTGATATAGTGAAGTTGCCTAAAAATTCACGGAAAATTCTGATATATATATAGATCTAGACGAGTTGAGTCGAAAACCAGCGTGTTTGTGGTCTCAGAAAAGGTTTTTCAAATCTTGGATTCCAAAGTAAAATTTTTATGTCTTGAAAAATGTCACCTTATTTTGTTTTGGTGATTTTCGAAAAACCGTACGAATTTTGAGAAAATCCATACAAAGCGGAACAAAAAAACTATTAAATTCTAGTTTCGGAGCTGTTTTACCATGTTGCGCATTATTGAATTTAACGAAGTATTTTTGAATTATACGGAAATTGTGTTCTTTGATTTACCGACTGCGCCATTGTTCTCTAGTAATGCGGCGAATGTAATAACACGCTATATGCGAATGTTGTTTCACCGAAAAACATTGGTATTTGCGCCAATAACCGCTAACTGAACTTGTTAATCAAAACAGCGATAAATTGGACC